ATCATCTGAGCCAGGGAAATAGGTATGTATTTAGTGTCACAACTCCTGGTATGCCCAAATATGGGAGGAAGCTTACTGCTTCCTTTCTCTGTCTATTGGCTCGTCACAAGAGGCCATCCAGACAGAAACCCACTAAACACAAAATATATATACAGGATATATATCAACACTATCTGGCTGCAAACTAAGAAAGGTGTGATGCTTTTTGTTTGCTTGTGTGTTTGTTTTTTGAGGCTAGCAATCTCTTGCCTATTCTGGGACATTTGTATGTGACTCTCTTTGATAAGATCATGTCCATACATGCAACAAATACTACCTGTTGAAATTCCTTTTAGAACTTCTGGGCCCTGTAGCTGAACATGCATGTTAAATTCCCATTACTGGAGAAGCTACTCTTTGCTATGCAATAATCATTATTATTTGCATGATTTATGTGAGGAATCTAGATGGATGGCCTCCACCCAGCTACTTTTGAAACTGTTCCAGCTCATTTGCATTAAGCTTGTGGTGTGTTTATACCTGCATGCAAAAGAACTTAAATCAACCCAGTGCTGTTCTGGATATATTTTTAATTGCTTCTATATTGCAGCCCTCCTCCAGTTTTTCTTTTGCTATGTACTAACACTGGTTTAAAGCTTGCAGGTACTAAACTCACCACCTGTTGAATGTATAAAGCAGAATCAAAACATTTTGCTCTCTGTCAAATACCAATTGCATCTCATTGCATCAGGAAGTTGGAGCTGTATATTTTGGACTTGAGCAATTGAATTGAACTACAGTATTGGATTTTCATGATGGGACGCAGTGGCTCAGTGGCTAAGATGCTGAGCTTGTCGATCAGAAAGGTCAGCAGTTCGGCGGTTCGAATCCCTAGCACTGCATAACGGAGTGAGCTCCCGTTACTTGTCCCAGCTTCTGCCAACCTAGCAGTTTGAAAGCATGTAAAAAATGCATGTAGAAAAATAGGAACCACCTTTGGTGGGAAAGCAACAGTGTTCTGTGCGCCTTCAGCATTTAGTCATGCCGGCCACATGACCACGGAGACATCTTCGGACAGCACTGGCTCTTTGGCTTTAAAACGGAGATGAGCACCGCCCCCTAGAGACAGGAATGACTAGCACATGTGCAAGGGGAACCTTTACCTTATTGGATCATTGCTTACTTTATAATAGGTTTAATAGTTCTCAGGTGCAAGCCTTTCTCAATTCCTTCCTTCCTTCCTTCCTTCCTTCCTTCCTTCCTTCCTTCCTTCCTTCCTTCCATTAAACACAAGCTGTGTGACACCGAAATTATCTTTACTCTAACTTTTCACTCAGAAAACTTAAGCCTTCTCTTAAGCAACATCCACAATTCAGATTTCTCATCATTAAGGAGGTGGCCCTGGCAGAATAGATAACTCAAGCTAGCAAGCCAAGTCACATGTTAAAGGAAAAGCAAAATGCTGCCAAAATCAGTGGGGAATTAGCTTTGATTAGAATTATCTTCTCTTAAAGAATGGAAGGAAAACAACTTCCATAGAAAAATGCTATCAACTTCTAGATGATCGCTGTAATATAAAATAATATTTATGTAGTTCTTATAACAGGTAATTAAAAAGTATTTAGCTCTTCCATTAAACATGAGACATTCTGGCACTGGGATGGCAAACCTATGGCATGCGTGACACAGGTGGCATTCGGAGCCATTTGTCAGGGCACACGAGGTGTTGTCAGCTGGCCAGTGCGCATACGCGTGCTGGCCAGCTGAGTTCAGCCTTTTTTAAAGCCATTTTTCGCCCTCCCCAGGCTCTAGAGGTTTCTCCGCCTCCCCCCGGAGGTCCTCCAGAGGCTTCAGGAGTTTCCCTGAAGCCTCCGGAGTGCAGAAAACTGGCCCTCTGGGCAAACTGGAAGTTTGGGAACGGACTTCCGGTTTGCTCGTAGGGCCTGTTTAAGCCCTCTGGAGGCTTCAGGGACCTTCAAGAGGCTTCCCTGAAGCCTCCGGAGGGCTTAAACCAACCCTACAAGCAAACCAGAAGTGACTTCCAATTTGCTTGTAGCAGGGTTTTTTTGCCCTCCTGAAGGTGCCTGAAGCCTCTGGAGGGCCACCGGGGGACAGGGGGCTGTTTTCGCCCTCCCCAGGTTCCTATAAAGCCTCTGGAGCCTGGAGAGGGCGAAAAAAGCATGCAAAAAATGGGGGAGCGCCTCTCATGCGCGCATGTGCATGGGGGGGTCATGTGTTGCATTGTGGGTGCAGCACACCCCTGCACGACCCCCGCCCTGCGCTCTCCCCCTTATGGCACATGAGCCAAAAAAGGTCTGCCATCACTGTTCTAGCAGCTTTTCCCTATGCATTTAAGTAGAATTAATAGTAGGCACATACTCTTGCTAGCATTTAGGGAGATACAGTTGTGTCCATCACTTCATGTCTCAACTGTCTAGGCTATTTGTTCCACCTGTTTGTCCCCCAATTCTTTCAGCTAAAACAGGTCCAGAAATAGTATACCGCAAGCAGAGCAATTGATCCTACTTAGACTTCAGAGGCATTTATTGAACATAAGCTAAGATACAGCCTTGTATTTTCTTTAGATTACAATGTATAATGAAGGTGTCAAAGTGGTAGGCAGCTTCTTAGAATCAATCATCAACAGAAAAACAAGCAGTCAAGAAATACACTACAGACATGCACTTGGTAGAGTATCCATGAAAGCCATGGAAAGGATGTTCAGAACTTGTGATGTGTCCAGATCTACAAAGATCACAATAGTGCAAACAGTAACACTCTACTAATACCACACTTAGAATACTGCATCCAGTTTTGGTCATCACACTATGTTGAGACTCTAAAAAGACTGCATAGAGGAGCAACCAAGATGATTAGGGGACGGGAGGCTAAAACATACGATGAATGGTTGCAAGAATTGGGCATCACTAATCTAGTGAAGAGAAGGACCAGGAGTGATGTGATAGCAGTGTTCCAATATTTAAGGAGCTGTCACAGAGAGAAGGAGGACAATCTATTTTCCAAAGCACCAGACAAGGCCAGACAAGGAATAGTGGATGGAAACTGATCAAGGAGAGATTCAACCTAGAAATAAGAAGAAATTTTCTGGCAGTGAGAACAATCAACCAATAGAACAGAAGTTGCCTTCGGAAGTTGTGGGAGCCTCATCCCTGGAGGCTTTCAGGAAGAGATTGAACTGCCATTTGTCAGAACTGTTTTGGGTCTCCTGCTTGAGCAGGGGGTTCGACAAGATGACTTACAAATTCACTTTCAACTCTATTATACTATTCTATCCTAAGTTGTTAGGAAGAATACTAACACTTGTCAATGTTGGTGTTGGAGAAGATTACTGAGAATACCACGGACAGCCAAGCAAAGCAACTGATGAATCATTGAACAAATCACCCCAGATTTCTCACTTGCCCAGATGACTGGGTTCAAATTAACATACTTTAGATAACTTATCACACGTTGGATACTTATAAAGGCCCAGTTCTCTGAAAACTCTAATTCTGGGAGAGAGGACCAACAGCAAGATAGATAGTCAGTTACAGTAACGATGTGTTGGGAGAGCATTAAGATTAGGTCAGGGACAGATCATAGGGAATATCTTTGTGGTTGCCAAGAGTTCGATGACACATAAGTGCATTCTTTGGAAGTATGCCCATTTGGTGGGAGAAGGGGAGGATAATCTGATATCACAGTGGATCCTGGAAAATTTGAGGATGCAGTAGGGACTTATGCAGTGGTGGGATTCAAATAATTGAACAACCGGTTCTCTGTCCTAATGACCAGCTGGGTAGGTGGGGCTCGGTGGTCATGTGACTGTGTGCGCATGGCCAACTCAACATCACTCACATCGATGGGTGCTTCGCCTTAGCTGTGACAATGTAATAAGGCTTAACCGGAGAGGCAGTTTCTGTAAGCAGGGCAATAAAGATTAGGCTAGAAACACCAGAATAGTTTCCTTCCTGCTTTCCTTACAGGTAGCCCTGTAAAGTGGGAAAAAACAAAAGGAGATTTCTTGCAACAACCGGTTCTCTGTCCTAATGACCAGCTGGGTAGGCGGGGCTCGGTGGTCATGTGACCGTGTGGGCGTGGCCAACTCAACATCACTCACATCGATGGGAGCTTCGCCTTAGCTGTGACAATGTAATAAGGCTTAACCGGAGAGGCAGTTTCTGTAAGCAGGGCAATAAAGATTAGGCTAGAAACACCAGAATAGTTTCCTTCCTGCTTTCCTTACAGGTAGCCCTGTAAAGTGGGAAAAAACAAAAGGAGGTTTCTTCCAACAACCAGTTCTCCGAACTGCTTAGAAAGTTAACAACCGGTTCTCCCAAATAGGTGCGAACTGGCTGAATCCCACCACTGGACCTATGTCTCTAGTTTGCCTTTTGGCAAGTGATGTGAAATAAGTGCTCTGTCTCGGTGTACCTACAATCTCAAAATAGGTTGGGAACAACTCTCGTGTTTTCAGCTTCATAAATTGACTTTAAAGTCCCTGTTATCCAGCTGTTCTTTATTGGCAAATTATAAACATTGTCAGGGTTCCCAGTAACACCCACAACGAAAGAAGACTTTGAGGCTTGAGTTTCTTCAAAATTCCGTTTTATTAGAGATGTCATATTGGCACATCTGGGAAAACCTGAATGTGACATCTTCCAGGTTTTCCACACTCAAGTGAAAGTTCAAGTCCCTGCCCAGCACCCACATGTCCATCACATGGTCCAATCAGATACCATCCAAAACTGGAGATGCCTCCCAATCACCTCATCGTAGCTGCAGGGCAAGGTGGCCTTGACTCTCTGAGAAAAGAATGTTATTTTGATTATATATCACCCATACTCCATATAATCCCTCCTCCTATTTTCCCACAGCAGAAAATGTGGCAGGCCTGAAGTCAAATGTAAAACATGGCTTCCAGGCCTGACAAACATAATACTAGCATGAGGCACTTTTAATAAACACATACAGAAAAGAAAAGAAAACACTCAGCTAGCAACAATTCATCCCCATCGATCTAATATTAGCCAAGGATTTTTTTAAATAATACTGATCTGCTTAAGCATCCAGTTTTATCAAAAGCTTTTTGGAGAAGCAAGGACATAACTGAAAGGCTAATGCTACCCCACCTTATTCCCCCAACTGGTTCCCTTTCATCCCAAATTGGCTCCAGGCAGAGCATCAATAATTGTCTACCACTGTTTTCCTATCATCAGGCTTTGGAGATAGGCCAGGTAAAGGGATATTGGAAGGGCGCAGAAATGCCATTTTATTGTTGCAGAGTGTATTTTCAGAATCTTGGAATCCTGTCCAAATTTCTGTCCTGTTTTTATACCAAAGAAAATCAAGGTGGGGCTATTTTATGTTTCTCGTGCTTCTTTCTATCTCAAGACTTTGCAATTGCTTTTCTGAGTTCCTCCTTGATGCCTGCTCTCTTCCTTCCCCCATGAACAGCCTTCCCAGACCTTCTCCAGGGTCAGTTCCAAGGGCTTCATACTTACTGAAGGCTCAAAGGAAACATTGGATCTGGGCAAATGGATATAATGGATACCAATGGGGAAGACCAAGAAATGTGGGCCCAGCTGATGGCCCCTCCAGCAGCTCAGCTGATAGAAGCACAGAGAAGAGCAGAAAGGTTTGCTGAAGAAAAACAGGTATGTTGATGCATTTGCTTCCATAACTGTGTGTAGAGGAAAAGTAATGAATTGATATAAATGTAATAGTGGTACAAGAGAAACACCTTAAGGTATTACTTTCAATGTTTGCGCAGACTCTGCCAAGAAATGCAGATGTTGTCTATAATAGCAATAGCAATAGCAGTTAGACTTATATACCGCTTCATAGGGCTTTCAGCCCTTTCTAAGCGGTTTACAGAGTCAACATATTGCCCCCACAGTCTGGGTCCTCATTTCACCCACCTTGGAAGGATGGAAGGCTGAGTCAACCCTGAGCCGGTGAGATTTGAACAGCCGAAC